CCAAAGAATAATCAGAGAAGCACATGTAATTTCCCATGCAGATCAACCGTGAAATGGATGAACTCAGGTGGCAATTTCACTGATCTCTGAAGCAGAGAAATTAGACTTTTTTTTTGAGACCTAGTTTCCCTCTGTTGCTCAGGCTGGAGTACAATGGTACGATCTCGGCTCACTGCAACCTCTGCCTGCTGGGTTCAAGCTATTCTCCTGCCTCAGTCTTCTGAGTAGCTGGGATTACAGGCATGTGCCACCATGCCTGTAATCTAATTTTGTATTTTTAGTAGAGACGGGGTTTCTCCACGTTGGTCAGGCTGGTCTCGAACTCCTGGCCTCAGGTGATCCACCTGCTTCGGCCTGCCAAAGTGCTGGGATTACAGGCATGAGCCACCACGCCTGGCTGAAATGAGACTATTTTAGATCTTTCTGGGCTTTTGGTTTTGGACATTTATACGTTTCATTTACCCCAAACCATAATCCCATATTAAGTAGAATTTTTGCTGTTAAAAATTGAAAACTTTTTTCTTCTTTTATAATTCAGCTTTTCAAATTATTCGACTATGAGTAATTCATTTAATTTAGGATTGCCTGTGGGTTCTTGGCAATCACGATGCATATTTAGAAATCTTTGCAAAGTGTGAAAAATATAACCTACATATTGTTTTCTACTATGATGAAATAGTTATGAGCCCTAAATAAAACAATTAACAGGGTAAACATGATATGGTTTCCTAGACATTGGTCTCAATGTTTATTAATTTCTATTTTGCAATTTCTGTGTTTCATATTTTGGAGGCAAAAGATCTTTTCTTCAGCTCTCCAACATTCTCATAGGCCCTGGGCCCGTTGCCTGCAATGCCTAATGGATAAAACGGCCCTGCACACAAAACCAGAGTGAAAAAGACCAGGGAAATTAAGTAAAGGTGTCGGCGTATATGGTTTTCAGATAACTTGGCGAGTTCTCTTCCACCCTTTGCAGAATTCTTGTAGAACCAAAGAGAAAGACATACACTGAAAAAGCACAGCATACGTGTTAGCAAGAAATCACTTGTACCTTTGGTGTCTAGTAAGAAACACAACAGGGCCGACGCAGTGGAAAATAAACTCTGAGAAAGGAAAGACACGCAAGGCTAGGGGAATGCATTGTTTTAAGCCCCTGCCATTCTAAGCACTGTGCCAGGGACTTTCTCTGTACGTTTCCATTTAATTCTCACGGCAGCCTTCTGAAGTCGTTAAGATCGTTCCCATTAAACAGATGAAGAAACTAAGGCCTGGAGAAGGTCAGCGACTCACCAAGGCAAATACAGCTATGGAGAAACAAGCCAGCATCAGCCGAACCCCGAAGCCCTTGCTCTCTGCAGAGTTCTCATGCTGTCTGCTTGTTTCCTAAAAGGGTGGGGATTTTATGACGATATTTCCTTCTCTAAACGCTGATTTAATAAGTGATGAATGTCAGTTAGTGTGGAGGGGCTGCAAGAGGGTGGGTAGAGGGTGGAGTTTCCAAGAGAGCAAAGTTGAAGTGATTGAAGGCAGAATTCACTGTCTTTTTTTTTTTTCCTTATGTGATTCATTAGTAGGAAAAACTGTGCTGGGTAGAACTTCCGAAGCCCAGTTTGTAGCAATATTAAGGGAATTTTGAACTATGGAAAGTCCCGATTCATAATCAGATTGGAACATGTCCCAGCCCCTTCATGGTCCCTTTACAGTGTTTCTCGAAGTCTAGTCCTAGCATACCACCTCCAAAACTATGCAAGGAGCTCAATAAAATGCAGATTCCTGGGCCCCAAACCAGACCTCCTGGATTAGTTTCTCTGAGGGGAAAGACCTGGAATCTGCATTTAAACTCACCATCCCTCCCTATCTCTGTGGGTGAGTCTATGCCCATTAACCTTTTAAACCCCACCCCCGGGGTTCAGAATAAGATTCCACTGCCTCCTCATTTTCTTGTTCAATAGGTTTTAAGGACCCTAGCTCAAACTCTCAGGCATACCTAGTTCTGGGCTTATTACCATTTTAGATGAAAAATTTAAAGAGAAAATGAGCAAACTGCTTTATTAAGCAAGTCAGTAAAATGTGAACTCAGAAAAATGAAAAAGCCACACCTGGTCCCCAGTGCACTGAGATTATCTCTTGGGGCCTAAGCTTAAGTCATTCATGAGTATGATTCCCACCCACTGAGAATATCCTCTACCCAGGAAGATGTTGGCAGATGTTTTTTTAAAAACAGTTGCAATTGCCTGGAAGGCTAAAATCACCTCCTAGCAGCTAAACCATCTCCACTAAGAAAGAAAGAAAGGAAGGGAGGAAGGGAGGAAGGGCGGGAGAAGGAGGGAGGGAGGGAGGAGAGAGAGAGAGAGAAAAGAGAAGTGAGGAAGAGTGAAAAGAAAGGAAGAGGCACCACATTCCCAAGAGTGTGAATCACTGGTCCAGGGTACATGGAGAGAGGCAGCCTAGAGACCCAGGTCAGGATACTGTGGAGAGCCCTAGGTATTTGGCAGGGAAGATAGCAGGACCACCTTCTTGCCCTCCCCACCTGGCCATGTCGCCACCCCAGACCTGACTGTGCAATGCTTAGGGCATGACCTACTCCTCAGCCCTGGATGCAACTCCTGGAAGGGCTGGCACAGGCCGTTTTTAGAAGTTGATTTCCTCCTGCAGGACTCATCTACCTTTGCTCAACATAAAATGTTCTACTGAGTGTATGTAGACTTACAAAATAGCGAAACAAAACATGGAGTGTGAGTGTCCGAGGGTCACCCCAGCAGCCCAGCCTTTGACATCAATCCAAGGGAAGAGGAGTGAAAATCTCTGCCCTCTGGAAGGACGGGGAGCCCTGGGGAAAGCCTGCAGGGCAGTCCCAGCAGATGCAAGGGGAAAGAGTCTGAAGGCTTAGGCTTCTCCGACTTGGGACTGAAAAGATTGGGTCTAGAAAGGAAAACATGCTACCTTCCTGCCAAAATCAACTGTGATGAAAGTTTAGAGCCCACCAGCTCTCAGCCAAACGTTTCCTGTTCTGGCCTCCCTGTCTGCCTCATACTGGCCCAGAGGTGGGAGAGCTTTTTTTAAGGTGCAAACAACCAGGACTAAGAATGAGAGAAATTACTTATTTATAATTACACCTTTCAACTGTTCTTTTTCCCCTCTGGAGATAGAGGCCAGGCTTCGCTTTTTCCCTTTGAATCTAAAATCCCCGGGGCAAGGAAAACTTTGAAAAGCCGTAGTTCAGTCTATCACCTCCAGCCAGGCATGGTTGCTGTGTGCACTACAAGTCTAAAAGCTGTGCGCCACCCTTGAGGAATTCCTCTTAAGGAACATACATTCCACTCATGCCACACGCGTGCTCTTGAGAAGTATTTTGTAAGACATATTTTTTATATAAAAGGTAATTTTAAAATGCATTAGTGCTTTTGTTATTTACAGGGATCCAACAATAAATCTTTTTTCCCTTTTGTTTTTTCAAGAGAGGATTCTAATAGCATCAAATAGATATTCCCTAATTTACTTAGGTTTGTAAAATCAGACTTTGTATTAGATTTACTTGGGGCAGGGCACATCTATAATTAGTGTCCTAAGAGTCAACAAGTCCTTTGTGGTATGTACCTGCATCTTTCCTCTCGTAATTCAGGGAGAGCTTCTTATCCAGTTAAATTGGTTCATTCCTAATACCAAATCTTGCAGGACCCATTGGAATTTGCCAGTAAATGAAAGAGAAAATCCCTCCCTTGTGATGTTCACTTTAAGCGTCATCTTGGTTTTGGGTATTATCCCCGATCGGTCCACTGACACTGTTTTCCTCATAACGCCTGTCTCCACCTGGCATGCTCATAGTTGCTTCTGTCTCCTCCACTGCAATGGAAGCATCACCAGGGCTTTATTGACTCTTTCATTAATCACTGTATCACAAGCATCAAAAATATATTGGATGCTCAACATTCATTGTTCAATGAATAGATTTCTGTTGATCTCAAATTGCTAGAGTATTTGGGATTATACAGGGTGTTGCAGAGTTCCCCACACTATATTTTAAAATTAATTCCCTCTTAAATGTCCCAGCTTCACTGCTTTCACCCATTGTCTCAGGCGTTATTATAAGAATTGCTTAAAGGACAGGAGGATGGCCTCATTCCAAATTCACTGTGCATTTTAAATGAGTCAAACTTAGCTGACCAGTCTGTAGAACGAGTTGGTCAGCACGACCTGCTCCCAGCTTCCTCACTGTCACTACTATGGGTGGGTTCCTCGTCCAGCCAGGCCACTGAGTCATGATTCAGCTTTTGGCCAAAGGAGGATCCTTGATGTGTCATCAGGCTTGTACAAGATTTGGTATCTGTTCCCCTCAATGAAGAAATAAAAAAGATAGGAAACTGGCCAGGCAGTGGCTCACGGCTGTAATCCCAGCACTTTGGGAGGTCGAGGCGGGCGGATCATGAGGTCAGGAGTTTGAGACCAGCCTGACCAACATAGTGAAACTGTGTCTTTATGAAAAATACAAAAAAATTTAGCCAGCCATGGTGGCACGTGCCTGCAGTCCCAGCTACTCAGGAAGCTGAGGCTGGAGAATCGCTTGAACCTGGGAGGCAGAGGTTGCAGTGAGTCCAGATCGTGCCACTGCACTCCAGCCTAGGCAACAAGCGAGACTGTCTCAAGAGAAAAAAAAAAAAAAAGAAAAGAAAGGAGACTATTTGAGCACAGAATGTAGGCTTAGAAGCTGATCTATGAGAAAGAGAAAGATGGAGAGAAACAGTTTAATAACCCATGTAACCCAGGATGACACAGGAACTTCTGATGGCTGGAAATCAACCATACTCAGCACGTGGTAGTTCAAGGAAGTTTTGCTGACTGATGAATGGCAAAATCATGCAAACATGATACCTGGGCTAGGGTATTTGTTATTTTTACTTCTTGGCAGTTTCAAGTTATTATTTGGAGACATTTCCTATTGCTCCAAGTGCAACGGGGAAAAAAGTAAGTAGGAACAAAAATTTAGTTAGTCATTTACTCACCTTTTTACCCCCGTGGGGCCCACTGGTTCCCCCAAGGCTTCTCTGCACTGATGGTGGCACCTGATATACCTCTTGCTCTTGGGTGCCGTGGCCAGTGGGGACTTGGTAAATTCCCTGATTTTGGTAGGAAGATGGCACTTGGTAGATGGTGTCTCGGGGAGCAGCCTGTGGGTTTGGCACTTGATAGAGCTTCTGTTGGCCAAAGGTCTGCTGCATCAGTCCAGACACAGGCTGGTCATGACTAGAGGCATTCTCCTGCACGGGGCCAATCAGAAGCTTCACCCGGTTGCCTGGGACGATGCCTTGCCGACCGTGTAAGGAGCACAGCCACCATCCTTCCAGTCCCCCTGTGTTCTGCTCTATGACAGTCAGGATGTCTCCCTTGCGAAAGGCCAGCTCCTCAGCACACTCTGGGACATTGTCATATAAGGCCCTTGCCATAAGATTCTAGGAAGGAAGAAAGAGAAGGAAACAGTGTTAGAATATTGGGTCGGTCCCTTTAGCACCTAAGGCCTGTGCTTTTATGGAAAGGCATACTTCCCGGAAAGAGAGAAGCATAAATCTGAACAATAGAGTGTAAGGAGAAAAACAGATGGTGCAGACAAAAGACAGATACATACACACTGTGTCTGCCACCAATGACATCAGACTGCCTCCTTGGAAAAGCTCAAAACACCCGAAGAGTTCTTTCCCCTTGCAGGAGATGCTGTGCCAAGGAATTATGAGTAGGACTGTTACAGAGTTAAGGCACGGTTCACTATACAAAATGTTTTTCTTCCTTTTCTTAAAGTGAGCTTAAGGAAAAACAAATTCCGAGATATTCAGATGTATGACAATGAACATTTTTCAATATTTTTCTATACCGGAGGTGAAAAGAGTAAAAGAAAAATCCCAAATAACACACAGTACAAATAGCATATATATTTGGAGTTGGAAAGTCAACAGAAGTACACATATATATGTCTTGGCAGGGCTTAAAAATTCTTGTTTTCAGATCACAGGAGCCTTGGATCCAGAGAAAATCTACTACAAGCAAGGCCTATAGCCATGTCATCAAGTATGGATCATAGGGCTGCAGGCACCCACCTCTCCAGCTTTGACAAAGAATTTATTAACACCCAGGTGGATGCCAGCTCTTCTCTTTCGGTCTTTTATGCATACCTTTCCTGAGGGCCCCCACCCCCGCCCTCCCGCTTCGTCACCTACTTCTTGAATCTCGCCATTCACATCGGAAAAGCTGTGCCTTCCCCTTTCATGGGCCCAACACACTCTCCGTCTTTGTATGAAGGCCTGTCTGGCACATTCAGTACTAAGCAGACAGCCAAAGTAGGCATTCAGCAGAGAGTGGGCAGGCAGTACATGCTGACATTCTTGGAGGCCTTTCAAAGGCTCGGAAGATTTCATTTCTTGGCATGAGTAAAGTTTCCCAGCACATGGGCAGCCATTCCCGCATGCCTTCCCCCTTCCCAGAGCACGGAGAAGTCGGAGACGTTGTAGATTCAGCACGAGCCCTTGGAACGCTAAAAGTGATTTCTAGTGCTTTGTTAAGATGTTTGGATGCACTTAATGTCACTGAGGTGGAGCTCGTTTATGGAAGAAAGGATTACAGATTGGATGGGGCAGATCGTGACTTTATTTCATACCATGGCATATTCGTGGGATTTTCGGCTGTCTTCTGGACTTTCGCCTTCTGTTTTCTCTAGCGATGTGGACTTGATCATTCAGCCTTCCGCTTCTTTGTAGCTGACTTGCATTACTCGTGTCCCCCTGTGCTAGCCCCATTGCCATGGGTCCTGCACGTTTTCTGCTCTGGAGGACTGTGCAATGGAGGGGATCTGCCCTCTATGCAGTAGTTGGGAAGGGTCCACTTCTGCTGCCATGAGCCAGGCTCCTGTTAGCCAGGGCAATAAAGGAGATAAAGCCATAGAAGACAGTGCTCAGGAAGCTTGGTGATACTCTTCAAGAATAAGGTTGAAGTCCTTTTTCTTGACAGTTATGAGATCCAGGAAGTGTGGGACACAGAGAGGTGAGTGGTCCGGGAAGCTAAAGGGAAACTGAGGAGTGTGTGTTTCAGGAGAAGGTTTTACTTAGTAGTAATATTCCAGGAAGCACTGGGTTTCATCTAACAATTAAAAGTTTACATACATAAAGATAAAATCAGGCAGCAGTTTACCCTGTTCATGGAACCATTTAAGGATGGTGTCATAATCCTAAAATTGCCTCTGTTTCTCTTCTCCCGTCTTGTGGGTATTCTGTATTTTACAAGAGACGTCGTAGAGTTACAGAGGACAACATTCTGGTCGTTTATACTAAAATGACCTCCAGGAAATGACTCCAGCAGAGGTGTACTGAGATTATAAGGTGAGGAGAGAGCTGACCACCCTGACCTCTATCTGTCCCTTTCTTCTGGGGCCACTCAGCAGTCGGGAAGCCCCTAGGTGAAATCAGAAGCAACAGAGTTGGGCCAGTTGTGTGGGAGCTGAGGGTTGGTAGCTGTGCAATTATACTGGCTACAAAGAAGGGAAAGAAGAGAAACAGAAAACAGTAGAAAGGCAAAGGGCTACAGATCTAATCAGCACAAATCAGCTCAAGGCATTCAGAACTGGGCTACTTCCAACTCCGAGGGCACTGTGAGGCACTGAAGTGGAGCACCGGAGCATGCTTGATCAGAAGCAGATAGAAATCCCCGGCGAGAGTCGTCCTGGACGTTCTTTGTCTCCTGCCCCAGTAACCTTCCCACCACCTGGTAAGCAGCCGGCTAATGTTTCTACACTGGCCCCATGAGCTGCTTCTCGGGGGAAACTCTCAGATCCCCACAGTCTGGGCTAGTGTGGGCACTGCAGGTGAGTCCTCCTGATGGGTTATCAGGAATTCCCAGTGGTCCTCCTCACTGCCCTTAGAGATTAAGTTCCAGGCACAGCTTGACACTGCTGTTAGTAGCCAGGATCCCAGCACCAGTCTCACATCTATTCACACACTGATAGATATTCTCAGCCTTGGCTGAACAGGAGTATGAGTTATTTAATATCTGTGCAAGCTACAGAGAGCCAATGTCTACATCCGGTCACTTTCCTAAACTGAAGGTTACAGCTCCAGACACCTTTCGAGATCACCTGGACACAATGTCCTTGTGTCACATGAGGAAATAGGTTCGGGGAGGCCAGTTTGTCATTTGCCCAAGGCCACGCTGTTGGCAGCGATGGAAAGAGAATTGCTCTCTTTCAGTTTAATCCTCTTTCCAGAACTTTACGCTACCTTAGCTTAGCCACACGGCGTCCTTGTCACTGGGCTCGGTTCCATTATATGATAAAGTTCTCAAGAGGACCGGTTCTTCTTTTTTTTTTATTTTTATTTATTTTTATTTATTTATTTATTTATTTTTTTGAGATGGAGTTTCGCTCTTGTTACCCAGGCTGGAGTGCAATGGCGCGATCTCGGCTCACCGCAGCCTCCGCCTCCTGGGTTCAGGCAATTCTCCTGCCTCAGCCTCCTGAGTAGCTGGGATTACAGGCACGCGCCACCATGCCTAGCTAATTTTTTGTATTTTTAGTAGAGACGGGGTTTCACCATGTTGACCAGGATGGTCTCGATCTCTTGACCTTGTGATCCACCCGCCTCAGCCTCCCAAAGTGCTGGGATTACAGGCGTGAGCCACCACGCCCGGCTCCGGTTCTTCTTTTCATGTCTGTGGAATAAACTGGATACTCGGGCTCTTGGGTTCTAGCTGTTACTTTGACAGGCAACAGCTCCCCTTTGTGCCTTAGTTTCCTGGTCCTTGGGAAGCTATGGTGATGTTTTATTTAATTTGTTGGGTGACCCTTGGGTTTCAGGCTCCCTCCCCGCCTCGCCTCCTCTCCATTCTCAATCCAGGCTTCATCCTATTCTAATGATGCTATTAGACATATTTTACACCTATCTGATATTTGTCTTGCTTACAATTACATTTCAGAAGAACTGTTATCTCAGCAGTATTTTTCTGAATTATGAATGAGTTCTTGTCGCTGCAGCCTCTTGTTGAGTATCTGCCTACAAATAGCAATAGTGAAACCATTGCTTGCATTCTAGAGACCTTCTGAGATAACATATTATAATGATATTACTTGATAAATTATGGATAAATCTTATCAGATTCCAACACAGATAATACATCAGCAAGTAGGGAGAGGCATGGGGGGCAGGAGTCGGGCTTTCGAAAAGATTTGGAGTTGGGGCAAGAGTTCAGTAAGATCATAACAGCCAAATGAATTTCAGCTGGGACATAAACCATTCATTCAAAAGTTCACATTACTCGTAAGCAGGCAAATCAAGAGTTAACTCTTCTGGCTAGGAGCGGGAGGGACCCTCTTCTCCAGAGCAAAGGTGTGATTCCTTGAGGGTACAAAGTCAGAAGCTGATGATCTGCTATCTTAGAAAAACCCCAGAGAGGCAGCTTTGTCTACTCAAGATATAGTCTTTCTCCTGCCCACCCTACCCCCTTGGGTATTTATCTCTAGGGTAGGGAAGGTCAACACAGAAACAAATCAAGGAGAGATAAGAGAGCTATGTAACTCTATATCCAGTTGGATGGTTAGTCTCCAGAGGCTGGCAGTTAGCAGTGCAGCCAGAGCTTGGCAAAACACCAAAACAGTTAGGGCACAGCTCTTGAAAGCCACAAGGAACTTTAAACAATTACCGTCCAACCCTTTCACTTTACAAAAGAAGAAAATGAGTGAGGCTCAAGAAGTTAATGATTTGCCAAGTCGCCTGGCAAGAAAGTCTTAGAGCTGAGACAGGAATTCAGGCCCCCTGTCTTCAGGTCCAGAATTAGGACAGAAATTAGTCAAGTGAAATACAGGTGCAACACAGCTGTGGCTCTAATCAGGATTGGAAACCAGCATTTAGGGTCATGAGCCCTATCTGAGGAAACCCTGATTGCGGCAGCCTCTAGCCTTGATCCCCAGCCCAAGCTTCCTTGAAGCTGTCTTCTGGCCTCTATGATACCACTTCTTAGTTCTCCCTCTTCTTTTGACCGCTCTCATCCTATTCTCCATCGGAGGAAATTAAATCTTTTTCCCGTCCGTAAAGTGATCATGTTCCAAAGAGACTTGTCCTTTGCATTTTCCTCTTCTCGGCTGTGTGCTTACTCTCTACAGGGAATCTCATCTATGAGATGGCATCTGAACACAAATAATTCCTAAAGCCATAGTCCTCACTAGATACTTCTTCTGTAGTCCAGTTCCTTATATCCAGTTTTCTAATGGGCATCTTCCTCTCTAACTCAGCAAGTGCAAACACCTTTTTCTCCTGCTTTGCTTTGCTTGGTTAACAGCATGCACACAGCTGCCCAGCAGGAGCCATGGAGGTTTGCTGTGTCTCTACATGACCTGCAACCCATCAGTGGGACCCTGCTTTCCACATCACGGCCACCCTTCATTCAGTTACTCAGCAACTTTTTTTTCCTGTAGCAC